ACACACATACATACACACATACAGACACACAGACAAACATACATACAAAGACATACATACAAACAGGCACATATACATACAGGCAGACACACCCACACAGACACACACATACATACAAACACACACACACAATATTTTGGCTCATGTGGATGGGAGTCAGAGTTCCCACTGGTCTTCCTCCCGCGCAGCTCTCGGTGTTAGCTGGGAGGAGTGACGTGTGGTCACTTCCTCCCAGCTTGTGATGTAATCACAGGGGTCCTGGTCACGTTGTTAAAGCGCCCAGCGCTGACCAGGCCCCCTTACAATCCACCCGATGGACCCCTTGGACGGCAGCCCAGGCGGTTTGTCGCGCGGGCTGGGCTGCAAAAGATAATGGCGGATACCTGGTCACAGGGGTCTGCAGGGCGGCCGGGGCCCCCCAGCTAGACCGCGGTATGAACGCCAGTGTGTGTGAGAGCTAGCTGAGTGTGAAAGAGAGTGCCAGAGAAGACAGAGAGGGAGGGAGAGACAGAGAGCCAAAGGGAGACAGAGCTACACATGTAAAGAGATGGAGAGACAGAGAGTGACACAAGGAAAGGAGAGCCAGAGACAGCTAGAGAGAGAGAGAAAGAATGACACAAGGAAATAAGAGACTGAGACAGCTAAAAAACTAGAGACACAGAGAGTGACACAATGAAAGGAGAGCCAGAGACAGCTAGAAAACTATAGAGAGACAGAGAGTGACACAAGGAAAGGAGAGCCAGAGACAGCTAGAAAACTATAGAGAGACAGAGAGTGACACAAGGAAAGGAGAGCCAGAGACAGCTAGAAAACTATAGAGAGACAGAGAGTTACACAAGGAAAGGAGAGACTAAGATGGTTAAAAAACTAGAGAGAGACAGAAAGGAGGTGAGACACACAGAAAGAAGAAGAGCCAGGAAGTGACAGCCTCAGATGTGTGCAGGGAGAGGTGAGGTTGAGTATTTCACTCACCTTGATCCTGTGTGCCACTGCTGCAAGCTGGGACAGGGCTTTCTGGGGGCCTTAGGTCTGCTGGGCTTGCTCTGAGCTCCCCTGTGCATTCTGAGTGCTGTCATCCTGGGAAGAGAGGGAGTGGCCCTGCAGGCAGGATATGGAGGCAGCTCTGCCAGAACTCCACCCAGGAAGAGGTAAGGGAAAGGCATTGAGTTCCGGTGTGCCTCAGCGGCACACACAAACAATAAATACAGCGGGACTATGCATCTGCCCCCCACTCTGCCCCTTACTGAGGTTACTGGCCAATTGGCCAATCACTGAGGTAGGATAATTGCTATTTAGTATATTGCCGAATTGGCAATATACTAAATAGCAGTTTTGCAAGGGGAGCCAGTCCTGCCTGCAGGGGTCTACAGAGCAGCCGGGCCCGGTAGTTCAGCCACTGGGGGAAACATTTTTCTTTTTTTGGGGATGTGGGCGGCCCTGGATTTAGGGCGGCCTGTGGGGCAATTGCCTCCCTACCCCATAAAACCTGTACATGGGGGGCACTGTTGTACTCGTAAGACATCGCTGAACACAAATATGTGGATTTTATTGCAGCAAAAACAAACAGTATTATAACACAGTTAAAATGCCATGCAGAACTTGAAAAATAACAAAATGTGTTCTTTAAATTATGTTTCAAATATAAATATTTTGTATAAAATGAAAGCCTAGTTGTCCTGAACAAAATGATATATGATAAGTGTGGGTGCACTTAATATGAGCTAAATTATGGTTGAACAAACATACAGCGCAAATTCCAGGTTTTGTTTTGATCAGAACGTGTACAATTGACTCCGTCCTTAAGGGGTTAAACCATCACCTTTTCTCTTTAGACAATCTTCCTTTAGTTTTTATGCTGTCTGTTTTTTTCACTTTTTTTTACTATCTATTACAACTTAGTTTTCACATTCTCATTCATGTGCAGCTTTGTACATTTCAATCCCTTATGTCAATTTCAATTCTCTCTTCTCTGTTCACCACAACCCTGCTCCTCATAAGCACATCACGCTTCCCTTCCTATGTTGTTAAAAGACTGGAAGACAATCATGCACCAATATTCCGCATCAATTAATGAATCAATCAGTGTTCTCTTGCTTGTCTTGGAAGCAGAGCTGTATTACCCATAAGGTGCATGATGTGGGCCCCAGTCTGGACCCTTGGCTCTGGCTGTAAGGAGGCCCTACTGGAGCTGGCATGGAGATGAAAAAGATATCTCTACTCAGCCCGGTTCCCCTATACCTGCTGAGGGAGCTTTGTGGTCTGCTCCAATATTGGGTGCCAACATCGGGTCCCTTGCCACACTGAAGGCTGCCTGACCTAAACAGTCTGGGGAGACCTGAGCATCTCCCCTGGACTTGGCCTATCAGGGGTCCCAATGGGACAGCTGCAAAATCACTGCAGCCTTCTAGACTTTGGTATGAGCTTATAGTGAGCCTGCCCCCTTAACCCTGCAGCATTCGCCATGCACGCGCATTAGGTTTCCCCTGGTGCTATCATCGGAGGAGGGGGAGACAGAGTTTCCGCTCTGGATTCAGGTAACTGAAAACAGGGTTTTTAAACCTCTGATTGCAGAGGAGGTGGGCAGTTTTGTATTTCTAAAACTATATTGTTCTTTTAATCACAGTACTCTGCGTCTGGACAGACATTTGAGTTCCTGCCCAAACTATGACCATCCCTCTTGGTGCCTGCTCAGGTAGCCATTGTAGACCTGATACTGTGTCACACTGGCTTCACAGGCCTTCTTATCCTGCTGTAAATATGACCACCAGGTAATGCAATAGAAGATTCAGACAAGTGGCTGTAAGTCTACATTGGTATTTGATTACTTACCATGCAGAGGTTCGAGGCTGCATTCTCAGTACGTGCTAAAAGAAAGGGCACAAGGCATGCCATCATGCTCTCAAAGAATATTCAGAATAATATTCATAAGGGAATGCTGAAGAGCCTGTGAACATAATAATTGAATACAATTTATTACAAATCCAATAACATTCCATCTTAGCATATGTTAAGTTTTCTGCATTGAATGATAAATAATTGAATATTTAATTCACACTTCTTGTGATCTCATTCCTCACTGTTTATTGTTCCAAAACAGATTCATAAAACAAATTTAATTAAGACACTCTGCATTGCTTACTAACATTACAAACAATCTAAATAGCCACTGAGACTGTGAAATTAAAAACACTGTATGAACAGGAATCTTCACTACCCACTAGCCATTGGCTAGTAAAAATTGAGCCCTGAGAAATTAACCCTTGACGAGTCCATGGGCCCTACAAGCTTACAGTGATAAACAACATTTAGACCTGTATAGTAGGGATTCTAGTGAAGGACATAAAATGTTGAGCCCTGAAATAAATACAGATACATTCTAATTTTAGTATTACATTACTGGGTAGAGATATCATATAAAATGTGTTGAAGGGGGGGGGGTATATATTTGCCTCTCCTTGTAGACTATTGGTTAAAATTAAAGAGGTAAAGGAATACTATAGGGTCAGGGACACAAACCTGTATTCCTGACCCTATAGTTTCCCACTGCCACTGACCATCTAGCTTCCCACTGCCTCTCCCCCTGCCCCCCTAAATATAACAAAATCTTACCTTTATTCAAGTCTGCTGCTGGCTCTGCCCCTGATCTGCCTGCTTGGCTGAAATCATCAGAAGTGATGCTCTGAGCCAAACACAATGCTTTCACATAGGATATCATTGGATAGGCTGAGCTTGTCAATGAGGTAGATCAGGGGGAGAGCCAGCACAAGCCAAACAAAGCATTGATTAAATCAATGCATCTCTATGAGGTAAGTTCAGTGTCTCCATGCAGAAGGTGGAGACACTGAATGTCAGTGCTGAACAATGTGCAGCACTTCCCCACGAAGCACCTCTGGTAGCCATGTCAGGAGTGGACAGTGGAGGTATCCCTAGGCTGTCCTGTAAACACTGCATTTTCTCTGAAAAGACAGTGTGTACTGCAAAAAGCCTGAAATTAATGATTATACTCACCAGAACAAATACAATAAGCTGTAATTATTCTGGTGACTATAGTGTCCTTTTAAATTAATGAAAAGGTTCAATAGAATTAAAAAAAATTTCAACTTTATCTCATACCAGAGAAAATCTCTGAATACACAAATTTAGTGTGCCATTGGATATACTCACAGTATTGCAAGAAAATATGAAGCATGCATGAGTGCTTTTGCTGTACATGCATGTCAACATGACTTGCATGTGTGCTATGATGATACAACCCTTTTTACCAACCATGTTCATGAAAATCTATACAGCACTCAACATAACCCTGCTCCTCCTTCCAGCATGATGGCTTGCTGGACCAGAACATAGGGTGAAACATTGCACTTCTTAATAAACCAGTTCTTTTGAATTGTCATCCTTTGTCACATTATCACAAAATTAATTTAAAAAAAAAAAAAAAGCTTTTATTAAAGAAATATGAAAAGCAGCACAAGTGAGAGATATACAGTTATTCATTAAAGTGAGAATTCAAAGTAAACTTAAGGTAAATTTCAAATTTAAGGTTAGAGTAATCGAATTGATAGCATAACTGACTTAGAGAATTCTTCCAGATCGGCTGTTTTAACCTTAAAATTTTAATTCAACTTGAATTCTCATGTTCGTAAATAACCCTAAAACTCACCAAAAACAGTTCAAAATTACATATTGTTTCTGCATTTGTAGAAAAGCGTAGAAAACCATTAATATATATTGTGTTAAAAACATATAACACAATATATTAAAATAGCAAAAAAATCATACCAGCACTCTGGGAATTAAAAAAAAAAAAAATTATTCTTTCATGAATCATTATAGGCAATCTATATGTTAACGTTTCTGTTTCACATGGGAACTTTCTCATGTGGAACTGAAATATATATATAAAATGATGGTAAAAAAATGTTTTTGTGAAGTGTCATTGGCTGGCTGGAATTCCTGAATATGTGTGTATGTGTGTTAGAATGCGTGTGTGCACAGAGGAAGGGAGGTAAGGCAGGCAATGCAGACAGAGGGAATCTTTGTATGTTCTCTTGTATTTGGCTGAGCGGAGCCTCTGTCTCTCATTAATATTCCAGTCTGCATGAACATGAGGTGGCTTCTTTTCACTCTCTTAACAGCTTACTATCAACAGGTAAGCCTCCTTTGAACAAGGTTCTTTTTATTTTAGCAGGCATTATTGTACTTGCTTTGCGGTAAAACTATCTGAGAAAGGCTTCAGGCAAGACAAACTTTTTCAAGTGCTTAAGAAATCCCACTCGGTTGAGATCACAACAACGTTTTACATTTCACAGGTTTCCTCCATCTTGCCAGCTCTCACTTTTAATTTAATGTCGACTGACAGCGAGGTTTGTAGAAGGAGCACTGTAGAGCGCTCATTGCAGTGACGCTTGTTTTCTGACATTCCTGATATACAGCAATATCCTGCCCTGTTGTTTTTCCACTAGTGTCGGAGCCCCAAAGCACTTTTCTGTTTACCAGATGAAAACATAAAATTACCGACATATCGTTAGGCAAATTTCATTACATCATAACATTCAGTGGTCATTAACGGGTTAATCCAGTAATTACAAGCATGTCATAGGAACTGAATGTATTAGAATTGTCAAAATTTTCACGTGCCAATAGTGTGTGATACAGAGAGCAAAGTAAATGACAAAAGTCTCCTCTCACTTTATAGTTTGTCTTTAATGCTTTATTCGAATATATTTATTCATGTTAAAAATACAAATTTTATGGAGTAAAAACAAATATTTAATTCAGTAGCTCTAGAAAAGATCAACATATTGGGGCTTATTCACAAAACCTCTATATTGAATAAATAGTAATGTTTTTCCTAAAATAGCCTTTGACTATAAAAAAAAGTCAAACAATGACAGAGTTGGAAACTTTTTCCAAATCAGATATTTTGGCCAAAATGTATAATTTCAGTACTTCATAGAATAAAATTATGGTCCGCACTCAGGGATAAACCCCTGTAATCCACAAAAAAAAAAAGAAATTGATTACTTTCCATTTTCACTATGTTCAATGAGTAACGATCAAGATCATTGTAATTTTTACTAGGGGGTTATTTCCTAAACCAGGAATCATAAGAGAATCACAAATTTTAGGCCTGAATTTTGGAATGGAAAAAATCTCCAGCTTTTCTCCAGTTAGGGTGATTTGGCATACAATTTGCAATTCCTTTGGTAATTTTAATAAATAAAATGCAGCCTTAGTTTAGAAACTAGCTAGTAGTGCATCTCTCTCTATATATATATTCCCCTTTCAGTGATGACTAAAAGGCAACAGCTATTTCTTAAGTATATAAGGGTCTTATAATGGACTTATGCACAAATGAGATTCAGCTGCTAAAAACTATTCAAATGCATTTTAACCACTTAAGGACACATAACGTAAATTATACTGGCCTTTTACTTTGGAAGAAGTGTCCTTTAGGGGTTAACTTGTGCCTGAACGAGTCAATCTGTCCATGTTTTACCTATGGACTCTCAATGAGTAAGACGCTACAGGTAAATTGATTCATTTAGTACAGAATAAAAGGCATTTGATTCATTGGTAGCAGCTGAAACTCATTTGTGCAGAAGGCTACCTTATAATCACTAACTAATTAGAGAACAGTTATTTCTTATTAGCAAGTTTACGCCATCATGAATTAAAGTGTTTTTGATGAGACAAATATAGCTTGATGTTTCATGGAGAATGTCAAATTGCTAGCACATGCATAGGTAAAAAGGTATTGAAATTTTTGTTTTTTTACAGGCATGCTGTTGGCATTGTTAAAAAAATGTCTAACTATGGCATCCATCCACTGGTGGCACTAATCTCTGTGAGGCCTTAGGTGAAACTCAAAAATGAGACCCTCACTAATGAAAATAAATAAATGTGTAACATTATGTGCATTATGTGTAACAATCAAATAATAACAAAGAGCTGTAGTTATATTTAAAGGGGCACTATAGGCACCAAAATCAACTTTAGCTTAATAGAGTGGTTTTGATGTACCACTCTATGATGTAGCTTAATAGAGTGGTTTTGATAGCCGCGCCATGTTTCACAGGAGTACCTGTTGCTGTAAGGAACCCCCTGGTTTTCCAGATTAAGCCAAAGTCATGTGCCACGACCAGGGCATACTTTGAGTCTGTATAAATATTAACACGCTTCCCTTCAAACATTTTGCATGCCACCGTAAGGGCTATTAGTTCGGCTTCTTGTGCTGACTTAGATGATGGGAGTGAAGATGCTTGGAGTATTTGGTCCTCTGTGGTGACTGCATATCCGGTATGATATTGTCCCTGTACATCTGCGAATCTAGAACCATCCACAAACAGAGTGTAGTCAGAGTCAGGTAGGGTAGCCTCGTGCACTGTTGGGAGATGAGTTGTTTCCATTTTCATCTGTTCAAAGCAATCATGAGGGGCGTCCTGTTCTGTAAGAGGGATGTCTTCACATATCTCTGTGTGATATCGAGGGTAACCGACAGTTTTGCAATTTATGGTCCTTTTAGTGACCCCCGTAAATGTGAGCTGTTCTTGAGTTGCAGTACTCCATGTCTTGGCCATTGGGCCGAGTTCTTTCCATGAGATATCTGGAGACTTGGTGAAAGAGATATGAGGAACAGCCACCTCCCAATGGTTATATAAATGTGATACCTCCATAGGCAGGTAGACTAAGATAACAATGTTTCCTTTGGAGTCACAGAACAGGTCTGTCAGTGTGATGCGTATTTCCACCAGGCTGAATAATTCTTCTTCATAGTATGGGTCAGGCCCTGGGGTGTTCCTGAACCACAGGGTGCAATGTAAGTAGCTCTCGGGCTGTTCATCATGTGGAACTGTGGGCTTTTCTACTTGAAGTTCCATGTGAACGTCAGGATTTATGTCCAGGCTGTACCAGTATTGCGGCACTCCCCCCTTGGGAAGTGGCAGAAGAGTGGCATCTTTGTAGAGTAACATTATCAGGCAAGAGGAGGGAGGTTTGAAGGCGGAGATGTCTCTGAGATGATAGATGCTTTGGCTGGACTTGATTCAGGATTGCAGCGATATCATGGGGAGCAAGAACCGTCAGTTGATGTCCAAGAACAAAGTCATTAGTTTTGTCCAGTAGGGCACTGGCAGCAAAAACAGCACGCAAACAGGAAGGACCACCCCTGGCCAGGGGTCTAGCATGCAGGAAAAGTACCCAATAGGGCGCTGACGGGAACCGTGGGATTGAGTAAGGACCCTGAAGCATGGCCCATGTTCTCTGAGATGAAAAGTTTGAACGGTAGCTGGTAGTTAGGTAGGCCCAAAGCCGGGGCGGAGGGGATGGCTATTTGAAGCGCATGGTAACAGGTGCGGGCTGTAGAGGACAATGAAAAAGGTTCAGTCTTCAAAGCATCGTAGAGAGGTTGCATGAGTTGAGAAGCCTCAGGGATCCAAGCCCTGCAGTATGTGATGAGGCCCAAGAAGGCATGAAGAGCCTGATGGTTAGATGGAAGGGAGAGATTTGTAATGGCAAATACCCTGTTCCTCGTTAGGTGACGGGTGCCATGGGAAAGGCAATGTCCCAAGAAGACCACAGAGGGCCGGCACCACTGGAGTTTCGACTTGGAGGCTTTACAACCTTCTTCAGCGAGGAAACAAAGGAGATCTTCGGAATTCTGTTCAGCAGTTGGAAAATCATCTGCACAGAGAAGTAAATCATCTACATACTGGAGCAGGACCACGTCTGGGTGGGACTTCTGCCAGGGTTCTAAGACAGCTGACATAGCTTTGGCGAATTGGGTTGGGGAATTTTGTGCACCTTGAGGCATGACAGTCCAAGTATACTGTTGACGATCGTGTGTGAAAGCAAACAGATATTGACAAGAGGGATCCAAGGGCATGCTGAAAAAGGCATTTGCAAGATCAACCACCGTGAAGAATTTAGCTGTTGGAGGGACCTGTGACAACAGTGTATGTGGATTAGGGACAACGGCCGTATCGCGGTTTGTGACTTCATTAACAGCGTGGAGGTCTTGTACCATACGGTATTGGTCAGGTTGACCTTTTTCAGTTTTCTTCTTTACTGGAAATAGAGGGGTGTTACACTGTGATACACACTTGACCAGTGCACCTTTTGCCAACAGGCTATCAACTTGTTTGGAGATGGCGAGGGCTTGTGCAGGTTTCAATGGGTACTGTGGTCTTCATGGTGGATTAGCTCCCTTAATTAATGTAACTACCACAGGTGGGACTCGTAGGCATCCAATCCCCCTCGGTGGGGGATGTCATATGTAGTAGTAAGGGCAGAGAGCAAAGGACGGAAGTATCTTTGCGAGAAAGGGGGGTTAGTAATTGAACCTGGCCATCAGCAGTAAAGGAGATAGAAGCTTGAAGACGAGACAGAACATCTGCTCCTAAAAGGTTAATTGGACAAGTGGATGAGACAACAAACCGAGAGAGAATGTCAGAACCAACCCGCAAGAGCTAAGTTAATGGGTTATTTCGGGGGGTACCATCGACACCTACACAAGAAACATCTATGTCGGATAGGTAAGATGGGTCAGGCAGGTCTTGTTCTCTGAGAACACTGCGGGCTGCACCTGTGTCAACTAAAAAGGTAGTAGGATGACCCTCAACTGGTAGGACAACTGTAGCGAGAGGCCCCCCCTTGTCCCCTGTAGACACTGCCATGACAGGGGAGTTAGACACAGGTTTGCCGGTTACCTATTGTACAAGGTCTAGATGAGATTGATCAGGGCCAGTGTAGTGACGTGCGGATGTGGTGGAGTGGCTGGCCTGATGGGTTTGACGTGTAGGGTGATAATGACTGGGTGCAGGGCGTTCATCTTGTTGGAAATCATCTGTATCGTAACTACCAGGGGAAGGGTGAGCATAGCTGTATCAGATGGAAAGGGCTGGTAGACAGCTTGGGCAAATTCCTGAGGAGGGTAATACGATGTATGTGCCTGAGGATATACCTGTGGAGGGTAACCTGGTTGGAGACCACCATATGTGGCTGCAGGGGCTTTGGGGTGCATAGGTGATCTAGTGGTCGGCTGTCTAGGCACCCTGGGGTGTGGGCAATCTCTCTGGAAATGGCCTGGCTGGTTACAATTAAAGCATGCCCTGGTCTGAGGCCTAGGGGCGGGTGTCATGTGCTGCCCCTGTGCAGCTGGCAGGGTAGATAGCACGGGATATCCTGGGGGGACTGGGGCGGGTCTGGTGGCAGGGCTATAAACGGAAAACATAAGAGGATTACTTTTCCTTTGGGGTGGCTGTAGAGCAGATTCTAGGCCCTTGGCAACTAGTAAGAGAGTGTCCAAAGGAATAATTCTGTATTCGGGGCGAGAAAGCACTAAGCCTTCCTGATGGCTTCCTTAAGGCCAGCAACAAAGGCAGCAGATAACATATGGGTATGTGCTTTGTTATATACACTGAATCCAAGATCGGAGAAAGTTTGAGTCAACCGTGAATGGTATTTTTCCACAGATTCAAGTTTGTCTTGTATAATGCCATTTAAACAAGTAGCTTGGTCAGCTAGTTTATCCTGGGCCCAGGCCCGAAGTTGTTCACATAACGTAATACCCGACTGAAAATCCATATCGGTAGTGAGGAGAGCATAATTTAAACTCCTTTCCATATTGGGCCAATAGGCATCCCCAGCCTTGATCTCACACAGACTATACAGATCACGCCAGGCTGCAGAGTATGTCTTACGAATCTGGGCAACCCTCCAGAAGAAGGGCATGGGCTGCTTCTCAGGGTCGGGGAGAGAGGTTACTAGGGTTGCAGCTTGGGATGGGTTGAATGTAACATACATCGGGGGAGCCCCTTCCACTGTTGATAGAGCAGGGATGTGGTTGGCTGGGGTGGCCTGTCTCTGGGAAACCCTATTATTCGAAGGACGGAATGGGCTAAGCCCTGTACATTGTCATCCTCGGGGGGGAACCAGGAATGGGAGACCATGATAGCTGGCAACATCTGGTGAATTAGGGGCTTGAGCGGCTGGAGCATCGCAGCCAGGAGAACTGACAGCAATGGCCTGGGGAGTAACTAACTGGAAAGTAGTGGGATGGAAGCCTGACGCGGCAGGAGAAGCGCCTACAGCATGAGGCTGTCCCGACACGGTAGATTAATTCGACCCAATGATCATGATTGGGTAACTGGGAGTTGCCATGAAGGAGGTGGAGACAGGAGTCGGACTGGGTGAGGGGGCAGGGCTGAGTAGGCTGAGGGAGATGAGTGGAGAGGGCAGAGATGAGTGACCAAAGATCGAAGGAGGGAGGGACAACAGTATTGGAGGCGGGAAGAGGAGGGGAATCTGGAACAGGGACAGAAGGGATGGTGGGGAGAGGAGAGGAAGGAGCAGGAGCAGAGGGAATAGCAAAGGAAGAGGGGGATATGGCAGAGAGAGATGCGATGGTGGGAACAACGGGTGAAGGCGAGAGGGGAACAGGAGCAGAAGGAACGACAGGGAGAGGCAACACGTAAAGGTGCAAGGGGAGCAGGAATAGGAGGGATGACAGGGGGAGGTGGGAGAGAGGTGATGTCGGGAGAAGTGATGGAGGTAGGTAGCAGAGGGACGGCAGCAGTAGTGACAAGGGAAGGTGGAAGAGGGGCCGGATCAGAGGGAAGTGGGAGGGGAACCGGAATAATGGGAAGTGTGGAGGTAGGCGGTAGAGGGACGGGGTAATAATAGGATCCATCTGCCCCGAGAACGGGGTACAGAGGGGTGGGGACAGAAGGACCTATGACAATTGGAGGTGGTGACTGGGCAGTGACTGGGGAGGTGGGGCGAGATTCATTCACGGTATTCTGGGGGCCATCATAGGGCGGTGGCCGGGGAACATCAAGAGACGAATCATCATTACAAACATTTCTGTGATATACATAAATCGTTTGTCCTTTAAAATCTATTTCTTCCTCTGACCAACCCTCCCGTTTGAGTCCTCTTGCTATCCGATACCAAGCCTCCACGGCTTTCTTCAACCCATTATCCAATAGCAAGCCCTCTTTATCAATAAGCAATTTACTCCAAAACTCTGGCTGTAATCTACCACTGGGTGACATTTGAAAACCACAAATCTTTGCTATCTTCTTTATTTTTAACATAGCCTCTTCTCCTGCTCTCTCCTTAACAATATCACAAGCTAAATAGCCTCTGGAGGGTCTGGCGTGTTCTTGTCCCATTTTTACCAAACAAGGCTTTCCCTGTAAGAGGGACAGAGAGAGAGAGAGAGAGAAAAGAAGGAATATCTACAGTGCTAAACTGCCATGAGGAATTGATTCCCGTGCGTCTTCCCTAAACGTAAACTAGTCACAGGATCCGCCCACCCGAGATGGTGGCCACGGATCTGAGTGGGCGAGCATGGGTGACTAACACAGCTCTGGGCAACAAGTACAGGAGAGGTAGAGAATAGGGGAAAAGGTGAATGTGGAGAGACTAATCAGAAGACATTTACAGGAGTCACAGATGTAGAGATGCGCACATAATCCGGAATTAAGGACAAGCCGCACAACACTTACACACACAACTAGGGTACCCACACTATGACTACAACTGAATAGAAAACATAATATAACAAAGAACAGTATAACTACGAACATAGTAACAACTAAACAGTAAATAAACCCTGTTCTACTCTGAACAGTACAGTAAAATTCCCAGCCTTTTTCTAAGCGGTTCCCATCCCTTCACCGGGCGGACAGTATTCCCAGCCTTTCTCTAGGGGGTTCCCAGCCCTTCACTGGGCGGACAATATTCCCAGCCTTTCCCTAGGCGGTTCCCAGCCCTTCACCGGGCGGACAATATTCCCAGACTTTCCCTAGGCGGTTCCCAGTCCTTCCCTGGGCGTACAATATTCCGAGCCTTTCCCTAGGCGGTTCCCAGCCCTTCACCGGGCGGACAATATTCCCAGCCTTTCTCTAGGCGGTTACCAGCCCTTCACCGGGCTGATGTGTTCCCTGCCGGTAGGCAGTCAAGCTATAATGATAATAAAGCATAAACCACACACCAGCTGTCTCACATGCATACATACACTCAGGAGGCAGATAGACAATCGACAGGTTCGTTTTAAAAGGCACCAGATAAGAGATTACCTGTCTTGTAACCTTCTGGAAGCCGGAAGTGGACACAGAGACAAACCGACACAAAACAGGAGAATACAGGCAAACCGCTGTATTTAGGAGGTGATCAGGCTCCGGTTGTCCCACTTTCTGCAGGTCCGCTCCGGTCCCATTTTCCGGCCGTCCGAACCGACGAGAACCGGCACCTCACGTTGGGCACCAAATGATGTGGAATCAATTAATAAAATGATTATCTTGCGTATCTGCCCCCGGCCAAATTAAGAAGTAATGCATGCACGCTCCTAAAGTAATTCACACCAGACACAGGTTTCTGGTTAATAAAAAACTTGAGGAATGTTTATTCTGAGGGGACGGCATGTCCCTTATAAAGCAAAATTACATCATATGCATTGTCAGAGATAACATGGAATAATACATCAATAATTGGTTAGGTGTTAAGTGGTTAATTTACTGCTCTTCCTACCGGGTGTGATGTCATTGGTATCCTGGAGGTCTCCCCCAGATTCCAGCGCCATCTTGTTAATGAAGGTGTTAGTCGATGTCAAAGGGAAACTCCCTAGCGGCCATTTTAGGTAAATCACATAGAAAGTTGAATAATGCTGATTGTAGTTATACTGAGTAAATAGGCATTTTACCAGCATGGATTGGGTTAATATTTTTGTCCACAACACTGCCATTAATGAGTTAAATCACTTTTGTATCTGTTTATGCAGCCTTTGCCACAGCCTTCATGAAAAAAATGTTTCATTTTCAATCACATCTTCACTTGCTTAATACGTTTTTATCTCCTGCTCTGTGAACTATAGGCCAGTAAGCCTTACCTCAGTAGTGGGGAAAGTAATGGAAACCGTGTTAAATGATATGAATGTTGAACATCTAAAATCACATGGATTTCAAGATCAGAGACAACATGGGTTTACTTCAGGGAGATCATGCCAAACTAATCTTATAGATTTTTTTTGATTGGGTAACTAAAATAATAGATCAGGGTGGTGCAGTAGACATTGCTTACCTAGATTTCAGTAAGGCTTTTGACACTGTTCCACATAGAAGGCTCATCAATAAACTGCAATCTTTAAGTTTGGATTCCAATATTGTTGAATGGGTAAGGCAGTGGCTGAATAACAGGCAACAGAGGGTTGTAGTCAATGGAGTATATTCAAAGCATGGGCTTGTCACCAGTGGGGTACCTCTGGGATCTGTGCTTGGATCCATTCTCTTATTAGTGATATTGCCGAAGGTGTTGATGGTAAGGTATGTCTTTTTGCTGATGATGCTAAGATATGTAACAGGGTTGATGTTCCAGGAGGGATAAGCCAAATGGCAAATGATTTAGGTAAACTAGAAAAATGGTCAGAGTTGTGGCAACTGTTATGGATGTTACGTTTGTTTTCAGGGGTCAAGTCCTGGGGAAAAAGGTGTGGGAACTCACCCAAGATTCCCGCCTCCCCCCCCCACAAAAAATTACACTCCTATGCATATAGTGCAGTGCAGAGTGTGTATAATGAATGTAGTGTATTTGTAGTGAGTGCAGTGAGTATAACAAATGTAGTGTATTTGTAGTGAGTGCAGTGTGTATAATAAATGTAGTGTGTTTGTAGTGAGTGCAGTGTGTATAGTGAATGCAGTGTTTTTGTAGTGAGTGCAGAGTGTGTATAATGAATGCAGAGTGTGTATAATGAATGTAGTGTGTTTGTAGTAAGTGCAAATTGTGTATAATGAATTTAGTGTTTGTAGTGAGTGCAGAGTGTGTACAATGAATGCAGTGTATGTAGTGTGTTTGTAGTGAATGCAGAGTGTGTATAGTGAATGTAGTGTGTATAATGAATACAGAGTGTGTATAGTGAATGCAGAGGGTGTATAGTGAATGTAGTGTATTTGTAGTGAGTGCAGAGTGTGTATAATGAATGCAGAGTGTGTATAATGAATGTAGTGTGTTTGTAGTAAGTGCAAATTGTGTATAATGAATTTAGTGTTTGTAGTGAGTGCAGAGTGTGTACAATGAATGCAGTGTATGTAGTGTGTTTGTAGTGAATGCAGAGTGTGTATAGTGAATGTAGTGTGTATAATGAATGCAGAGTGTGTATAATGAATGCAGCGTGTGCTGGATGATGTGTGTGTGCGCGCTGGATGACGTGTGTGTGCGCGCTGGATGACGTGTGTGTGTGAGTGCTGGATGATGGGTGTGTGAGTGCTGGATGATGGGTGTGTGAGTGCTGGATGATGGGTGTGTGTGTTCTGGATGATGGGTGTGTGAGTGCTGGATGATGGGTGTGTGAGTGCTGAATGATGGGTGTGTGAGTGCTGAATGATGGGTGTGTGTGTGCTGGATGATGTGTGTGTGTGTGTGAGTGCTGGATGATGTGTGTGTGTGAGTGCTGGATGGGTGTGTGGAGTGCTGGGATGATGGTGTGTGGAGTGCTGGATGATGGGTGTGTGAGTGCTGATGATGCGTGTGTGTGTGTGTGTGCTGGATGATGTGTGTGTGTGTGTGTGCTGGATGATGTGTGTGTGTGTGAGTGCTGGATGATGGGTGTGTGGAGCGGATGAGGGTGTGTGGAGTGCTGGATGATGGGTGTGTGTGGAGTGCTGGATGATGTGTGTGAGTGCTGGATGATGGTGTGTGTGGAGTGCTGGATGATGGGTGTGTGTGGAGTGCTGGATGATGTGTGTGAGTGCTGGATGATGGGTGTGTGTGTGCTGGATGATGGGTGTGTGAGTGAGTGCTGGATGATGGGTGTGTGAGTGCTGGATGACGTGTGTGTGTGAGTGCTGGATGATGGGTGTGTGAGTGCTGGATGGTGTGTGTGTGTGCTGGATGATGGGTGTGTGAGTGAGTGCTGGATGATGGGTGTGTGAGTGCTGGATGATGGGTGTGTGAGTGCTGGATGATGGGTGGGGGGGAGGGGAAGCATTTTTTTCTTACTTTATGTGTTTTTTTATTTTATTCCCCCCTCCCTGCTTCTTACCTTGTCAGGGAGGGGGGAGATCGCCTGGTGGTCCGGTGGAGGGAAGCAGCCGCTGCACAGAGGGGCCATCACACACTGTGTTCCCTCTCCAGCTCTAACTCTCGCGAGACTCGCCTGTGCGGAGCGTTGCCATGGTAACAGCCGCGGGTCTCGCGAGAGTTATAGCTGGAGAAGGAACACAGCGTGTGACGGCCCCTCAGTGCAGGGAGCAGGGCCGGTCCTGCAGGACAGGTAACGGGAACGGCGTTCCTGCTTTGGAAAAAGTGCAGGAACGCCATTCCCATGCGTTCCTGCAGGACTCGAGCCCTGTTTGTTTTACATGCAACTAACTCTATGGTTTATTTTCTATTGCACATGTTTCCTGTTGGGGTGTGTACTTCCTTCCTGTATCTCCTAATACATGGCTGCTATACACTAATACCTGGCAGTGTCTTTATTTGGATAAGTGCAAGATAAAGCATCTTGGATGTAAAAACCCAAGGGCAGAGTACAGAATATTTGATACCCTACTAACCTCAACATCTGAGGAAAGGGATTTAGGAGTAATTATTTCAGATGACTCAAAGGTAGGAACACAATGTAATAGAGCAGCAGGAAATGCTAGCAGAATGCTTGGATGTATAGGGAGAGGTATTAGCAGTAGAAAAAGGGAAGTGCTCATGCCATTGTACAGAACACTGGTGAGACTTTACTTGGAGTATTGTACGCAGTACTGGAGACCGTATCTCCAGAAGTATATCGATACCCTAGAAAGAGTTCAGAGAAGGGCTACCAAACTGGTTCATGGATTGCAGGATAAAACTTACCAGGAAAGGTTATAGGATCTTAACATGTATAGCTTGGAGGAAAGACGAGACAGGGGGGATATGATAGAAACATTTAAATACATAAAGGGAATCAACACAGTAAAGGAGGAGAATATATTTAAAAGAAGAAAAACTGCCACAATAAGAGGACATAGTCTTAAATTAGAGCGGCACAGGTTTAAAAATAATATCAGGAAATATTACTTTACTGAGAGGGTAGTGGATGCATGGAATAGCCTTCCAGCTGAAGTGGTAGAGATTAATACAGTGAAGGAGTTTAAGCATGCATGGGATAGGCATAAGGCTATCCTAGACTTAAAGGACCACTATAGTGCCAGGAAAACATACTAGTTTTCCTGGCACTATAGGGTCTCTAGGTCCCCTCCACCCTTAGGGTCCCCCTCCCGCCAGGCTCTAGGGTGAGGAAGGGGTTAAACACTTACCCTTTCTCCACCGCCGGCTCCCTCGGCAGTGGGGACTCTCCGCCTCCTTTCCCTGTCAATGAGACAGCCACTAGAGGCTAGATTAACCCATAGGTAAACATAGCAGTTTCTCTCTGAAACTGCTATGTTTACAGCAGAAAGGGTTAACCCTAGATTGACCTGGCACCCAGACCACTTCATTAAGCTGGTCCTTTAAGATAAGGCCAGGGATAAGGCCAGGGACTAATTAAAATTATTTTGAAATATTGGGCAGGCTAGATGGGCCGAATGGTTCTTATCTGCCGTCACATTCTATGTTTCTATGTAAATTGAATTGTAAACACACACAGGAGGCTCCTGCAGTCTAGAAATCTATTAACTGAGCAGGAGATAAGAAATTCTAGATTAAACAGACTGTGCAATAAATTAACCTAAAATATCTAGATTCCTTTTCAGGAAATGTTTAGGAATGCTGTGTAGTTTACATGCAAGGAGGTGTTACTAGGTTTGTATAAACAAAGTGATTTAACTCTTAAATGGCAGAGAATTGATTACTTGATTTATAAAACTGATTCATTAAGCTAAATTTGTTTTAGAGCCCATAATGTCCCTTTAAATCCTCCAAATTACAGCCTTTATATTACAAATTGTCACAATAAGCTAAAGTGAAGTTGATACTTGAATCATACACAAAGGTTAGTAGTTGATTGGCTACAGCCAAAGCAAGAGGCAGTTATCCCTTGAGGTGTCAGAAATGTAATTATTGCATTTCTTTGTTTTGTAAAAGGACATTATAAAAGTAAATGTAACATATCCGATTTTTGTTAGGAGTTTGCGTATTACACCTGAAAATTATGTTCACATGTTCATGTTGCAAAAAATTTCTTTTAAGTTTCTCTGCAGTCCTGGAGAGACTGAGAACACTGTACTCATGGCTGGGGAAAAAGTAGCAGGTGCAGAAGTCATGGAGCGCAGAGTGTTCTGTCAATGGCCGTGTAAATGTTCACATGAACGCACATGCCCGAGAGGAGTAAGCTTGGTGAAGGATGGCTGTGGATGCTGCAAAATTTGTGCAAAACAGCTAGGCGAAAGCTGTAATGAGGGAGATGTATGTGACCATCATAGAGGCCTATATTGTGACTATTCAGCTGACGCACCCAAGTTTGAAGTTGGAATTTGTAAATGTAAGTTGCTTTTATACTATTTTTCTTTCTATTTGTTGACAAATATTAATATGTTTTTGTTATGTTTGTGTTAAGTTGTATTTATAGACATTAGATGCCATTTTAATTTGATTCTTTAGTTGTTCTATACAACTTAACATTCAACATGCAGTATTCTATAATTAAACTAGATGTGATCTTTTTTTTTTTTCTCTTTTTGTTGGACATTTTTTTTTCATATGTTATATATTATCTTATATTATATCAAAGATATCAAACATCAAATGGCAATTTTCAATTAATAGACCAGAATGATACCAATATTATTTGTTTAAATCTTCTTGAAAATCTATTTGAAATAATTTAATACATTGTATTGCATTTGTCAAATAAAGAAATACTAAATTACTCAACAAACCGTGAAAACAGGACTACACAAATTAAAATACAAAAATAATGTTAAAAATTGATCATGGACAGTTCACAGTAGCTTGCTTTGTGACTTGGTATTTGTGTAGTACAGTAGTCTCAAATTATTGTACAGCTCGAGGGAATATGTCAGTGTTTTAAATACAACAAAAAAATGTAAAAAAAAAAAAAAAAAAAGGTTTTCTGCTTATTTTTACCATCCCATTAATATATCACATATCATGTAAAATGTTTGGCTACGTGTTAAATACAAGCAGTTATTTATTTCATTTTTTAAGATATGAATAATGGTTCATTGTAGATAGGTGAATCCTGATATCTTAATATTAATTAAGAGAGTCATTAAATGCCAGGATCCAACTCTTGTTTAAACTTCAACTATAGAACACAATGTATGAAAAAGTGCCTAACATAAAATGTTTTGCCTATTATTATCTTCAAGATCTGCTAGCTGTCGGATGTGTACTTAATGGGGTGCTCTACCAAAATGGCCAGACTTTCCAACCAAGCCCCCTTTATATATGTCTTTGTATAAGTGACACTATTGGATGCACTCCCTTGCTCATGTCAAAACAAGGGGAAAGTCAATGTGTGGAGTCTACAGGTCTAATTAAAAAGTCAGAACAATCAAGCTGTGCTCTAGAAAAGGTCCAGCAGATAACAGACTCCAAATTCATACCAGGTATGTCTAAAAATAAGAAGTTTAAATATTATTTTGATTATTTTAATGGCAAAGAACAATCAGTAAAACAATAAGAAACAATTGAAGAACAAAAAATATAATCTACATTCACAATCAGTCATGATCTTTTCCCCATATTTTTGCCTTCAACCCCCCATGTTCACGTAACTCATCCACACTGGCAAACCTGCATATATCGTTGTATGCAAACATTTTTAAGCAGAGTAACACAATAATACATTAGCCATTACCTGCCCATGGTACAGTGGAAAAACGAATACTGGTGGAGACCAAAATTGAAACCAATGTTTCATTCTATACGGATTTTGTCAAAGTTATTTTTGTTGTTTGATTGCTATATATTTTTAGTACTTAGTCATCACTGTTTAAAACTGATTTACTGCAGCAATGTTTATTTAGATCAACATTTAAGATTAAGATTATCTTTGTTGTTTAGCACTCACTTTGTGCTTTCACTTTAAAAACATTTCAAAACATAACCATATCTCAGAGATGTCAACATAGAATCAAAAGAATGTCCTTGTTGATTGCACAGCATTTTGTGTGTTACCCCATGATTACTCTCTATATATGGTCCAGTGTACTAAAAAATGAATAATAAAAAAATATATATATATTTATTTTTTATTATATTTCACATATGATTAGGTGACATATATGTTATAAAATAATGGAGTATTGCTTCTGGATTATTGAAATACTATAGAGAATAATAAATTCTTGCTTGAGGCCCAAAATACTTGAAAATGAATTTTCTATAATAGCAGTGGAGGGGATCCTACAATATAATATAAACATCTCATGAAATGCTGCCAAATATTTTAAGTAGAACTGTCACAAGCAGGGCATTTATAGTAACTATGGCTTGTGTTTTTTATTTTACTTTTTAAAAATTATTATTTTAGATTTTTTACAATAAAGGCAATGCTTTGAAGGCACCGACTGGCGTACGGCATTGTGAAAACCCCTCATATTGCAATGCATGCATTAAGTAACACAGGCAGAATTTGTGAGAAAGCATGGGTTTGCAGGACATTATGGAAGAAAATCTCAAATGCATTTTTTTGGTGCATCATCGGAAGATGGCAGTTTCAGCGCCAGGAAGTGCTGTGGAGAACAGTGTGTTATATAATTACCTCAGCCGTCACCAAAAAGTGACAGATGACTTTTAAGTTAATCTTGTAAAATAGCATGGCTCCTAATTGTCCCGATTTCGGTGGGACATTTGAGATTTTCGGGTCCTGTAAAACCTAGTGTCCTGCTTTTGGAAAACAAGGGAACTGTCCCCAGCAATCATAGCACAAAAGCGTCTTTTGACTCTGCAGGGAGCACTAATATAGTCTCCAGCCTCCAGTTTCTTACTTTTGTGCAGGCTGAGGGTTGCAACGCTAAACAGATGCTTACTATAGGTGCAATTAATAATTTATTAGACATCATATACCTGAAATCCCATGAAAAGTAACCTTTACGACTTTCATGATGCAGTGGGATTTGTATAAATTCTTGTCATGAGGGACTTCTGTCATATCTAATACTCTAATACCTTATGCATGAAGGAGATGTTTTGAAAACACCTGTGGATTTGTTTAGCAATTATGCATCCAGTTGCTAATTCTACTCCTTATACCAAAGAACTTTGAAAATATATAAGGGGAATATTTCATGTTTTTTGGTCCATAATAAACTTGTTCTCCTCATTTTGTAATTTACAGTGTATTATTTTCTTCAATGGGTCCCATTTTTGAGGTTTGAGAATTGTATGAGATAAACACTTCTAAAGTAAATTAATATCTGATGGAAAATTAAACCATTTTGTTCATGCAGGATGTGTCAGTCACAGCCAGAGGGCGGGAGGTGGGGGATGCATAGATGGAAACAAAAGTGATTAAACTTTTAATCATTGAGCAGGGAGACAGCAGGGACATGATTTATATACTCAAACCGGTTAATTACGTTAAAGTTGTTTTAATGCCTATAGTATCCCTTTAATATTCTGGCTGAGCTTTACAGAGCCTAGAAACAAGGATTTTGAGGTTAAAATTACCCATTGTTGAAAAGAGCATAAACAAAAAAAGGAGAATAATTTTATAATGAAAATATTAAACAAAAAATATAAGGCTAGTCTGCTTTAAGATTAGGGGACTGAGAATTATGGGCATAATGTCCTTATGAATATTATGGGAATGCATACTTTGATATTCTTGTTCTGCCAAGCTTTTCTCTAGTGCTTATAATAATCAATCTTTTGCTCTGTATTCCAAGTGCAAAAATAGATTGCTTTTATTATCTGATGCATTGTATAATGTACTATATTTCAAAACCATTGCTTTGCCTTTACTCTCCTTACATTTTAAAACATCACATAATTCTGAGATAACCACAATTATAACCTGCTTTTATTTATTGCAGATGTATGCTGATCTTTTAACCTGCTTCCCGCTCTGACATCTTTAAATCAATGCCTGCCTTCCAGGTACCCTTTAAGATCCAGCCTGATATCATTTTGTAAACCCTTAAAGATATGTTCAGTTGAATTACTGATTTTTTTTTTCCAATCATGGATCACAATGAAAGCTACCAATTACATAATGTACCTGCTTATGGAGTGAAATTACATGAACACTTTTGAACCCTATAAGGTTGTTGATGGCCCATTTTTAGGTTGAGGGATATCTACAAGGCTCTGATCAGATCCATCTATGTATATGTCTGCTGCTTAATTTCTTATTTTTAAAAGCAAATCCCAGGGTGCCAATGAAGCCATTCGGGTTTCTTGAATCTGAATTCAAGAAACCCAGCAGGATTTTAAACAACCTTAGAAAAATAGATTTAACTGAGCTATACCTGATCTGAGTTGCCCTGAACATATGGCGGTGATGTAAACAGGCATTTCTGTCCAAAAACAAGCAAAATTGCAAAAAATTAGCTTCTATGATTCTGTGACAGCTACTCCTAGAGAAATATGTGGTCTATTATTATCATATTGGTTTTTGTTTTAACCTAAAATAGGTTTAGAAATTTTAATAATGATATACTACTACATTTATCCTCCTCCTGTGTCTGCAATTAACATTGCCAATAATAGAGTGAGAGGAGGATATTGCATTGAGAATAAATAACAAAATATTCTAGCATGTTATAGTTAAAAATATGACCAACTAGCCTAGCCTAATTCTCTCTTACAGTACACCTTTAGATTCAAATAGTCTGCATTGTATTGTATTATCATATTTTCCAATAAAATGTTATATAAATAAAAATAATATATGACCAGACACACATCAGGCTTAATGTTAGCACATGCACATACAATGAGTGGGAATTAAAGATTGTAAATTATTATTATTATTGGTTTTTATAAAGCGCCAACTAATTCGGCAGCGCTTTACTATATTATGAAAGAGGGGACATTTACAATAAATGAGACCATTAAACAGTGACACAGGAACAATAGGTAGATTAGGGTCCTGCTCAAACGAGCTTACAGTCTAGAGGAGGTGGGGTACAAATACACAACAGGGCAGCAAGGGTGACAGCCACCAAAAAAAGGTGGAAAAGTAGTATAGCTGGAGGTGAGAGTGGAGTGTGGCTCTTAAGGAGAGCAAGAGATACATATGGATAGGTATAGATAAGTTACTCTGGGAGTCTATAAGCATTTCTGAACAGATGTGTTTTGAGGGACTTTTTAAACAATTTAAGACTAGGGGAAAGTCTGGTTGGGATAGGCAGGCTGTTCCAAAGGAAGGGAGAGGCCCGCAAGAAGTCCTGCAAGCGCAAGTTAGCAGTAAGGGTGCGAGCAGTGGACAGGAGAAGACACCGGAAGAGCAGAGAAACCGAGAAGGGGCATATCTATGAGTCAGTGAAGAAATATAAGAGGGGCTAGAATTGGTTAGAGCTTTATAGGTAAGGGTTAGTATTTTGAATTGACATGTATAGGATACAGGAAGCCAGTGTAAGGATCAACAGAGAGGCGAGGTATGGGAGGAGCGACAGGTGAGAAAGATCAGCCTACTGTCTACATAACTGATTGTAGCAGGACAGTTCAGCTTCTGGGGAAACCAACTAGGAGAGAATTACAGTAATCCAAGAGATTACCAGAGCATGAACAAGCTCCTTGACAGCATCTTGTGTGAGAAAGAGGTGGATGCGGGCAATGTTTTTAAGGTGGAATAGACAGGTTTTGGCAACAGTCTGGAAATGAGATGCAAAGGTGAGGCCAGGTTCAATGATAACACCAAGACAACGAGCTTGCAAGGACAGACATTAACTTGCAGGGAAAGCGAAGTAACATCAACTTGCAGGGAAAGCAAAGGAGGAGGATCAGTTTTATGAGGGGGGAAAATAATAGCTCAGTTTTAGAGAGATTGAGTTCAGAGGCAGGAGGACATCCAGTCAGAGATTGAAGAAAGGCAAGCAGTGACATGTTGTAGGACCGCAGGGGCGAGATCAGGGGAGGTAAGATATATCTGGATGTCATCAACATATAGGTGGTACCGAAATTCAAATGCGTTAATGAGTTTGCCAAGAGAGGCAGTATAAAGAGAGAACAGAAAGGGTCCTTGGGGGACTCCAGCCAAGACAGTGCGAGAGGAGGAGGTGTCATTGCAAAAGGAGACACTGAACTAAAATTGGGAGAGATAGGAGGAAAACAATGAGAGGACAGTGTCACAGAGACCGAGAGATTGAAGAGTTTGGAGAAGGAGGACATGATCAATAGTGTCAAAGGCGGCAGAGAGGTCAAGAAGAATTACTATGGAGTAGTGGCCTTTGGATTTAGCTGTAATTAGGTAATTTGTAACTTTAATAAGAGCAGTCACAGTAGAGTGGAGGGGGCGCAAGCCAAATTGAAGAGGATTGAGGAGGGAGTTCGAATTTAGGAAGTGAGTCATAAGAGTAAAGACAAGTCTTTCTAGAAGCTTTGAGGGAAAAGGAAGCAGGTATATGGGACGATAGTTGGAAGGGTCTAGGGATGGATTTTTTAGGATTGGTATGAGAGTAGCATGCTTAAGGGGAGCAGGGACAACACCAGATGAAAGAAAACAGTTTAGGATGTGTGCTAAGGATGGTACAAGACAAGGGGAGAGAGATCTGATAAGGTGAGAAGGTACTGGATCAAGTGGACAGGTGGTAAGACAATAGGAGAGGAGAAGCGCAGCCACCTCCTGTTCTGTAGCTGGGGAGAAGGCCTGTAGGGTAGGAAAGGTAGAGTTGAGGTGTGGTTGCGAGAGGGAGGAGCAAAGGGGGGAGAATTCTTTCATTAGCTGTTCAATCTTGTCGGCAAAGTAGCATGCAAGGCTACCGGCAGAAAGGTTAGTTTGGGGGGTGGCTTGAGGTGAGTGAAGGAGAGGGTTGAATGTGTTAAAGAGACGCCTGGGATTGCGTGAACTTGAACTAGCGAGAGAGGAAAAGTAAGATTGTTTAACAAGGGTAACTGCTATATAAACACAATATTAATTTATAATGGAGGAAGTTTGACAAGGTGCGGGACTTCCTGCCGCAGCTTTCAGCCGAATGGGAGCATCTCTGCAGGTAGCGGGTCGACTTAGTGTGCCATGGTTGGAGGCGCGTCTTCTTTGAGGTGCATGTTTTGGAGTGGGGCTGCAGCGTCCAGGGCAGAGGTGTGGGTATCATTATATAAAGAGATAGCCAGAGACGAACAGGAGAAGGTAGGTATCGATGAAAGGAGATCAGCTGAGAGTTGCAGGAGGTCGAGAGAATTCAGGTCCCTTTTAAGTTGAGTGGGGTTAGAGTGAGGCTGTTGGGTGAGGGTCTCTCAAGATCAAATAAAAAGCGGTTGTGATCTGAGAGAGGAAATGGCGTGTTGTTGAGCTTAGAGATAGTGCATGCATTAGAAAATAGCAAGTTCCACAAATGTGCTGGTTTTCTCTATTGATAGGAAAAGCTGGCATTAATACACAAGAAGTTCAAGTGCTTGGCTTGTAGAAAACATGTATTTGGAAAACACATAACATACTAAATTATTTTTACATACTCATTGATTGAATCATAGATTTCAGTGAATTCTATGGATTTGTACAAGTTATTCAATATTTTCTGCTATGTTGTAGAACCAAAATTAGGACAAAAAAATGTGATGGCTTTGGTCACAAAGAATGGATGGAACGAATCTCTAATCTAAGTAAAATGTTGTCAACAAAGTACAGCGGAGTAATATGTATTCTAAAGGAACCCCTCATATGTACCTACAAACAGTTGAGTCTTTAAGCTTGCCATATGACTTCACTCTATTTCTTATAATTAAATGGTACCCTGTGTTCCAGTTTATAAGGTTTTGCCTCTCGTGTGGAAAAGAAAATGCTTGGTTCAAGCAACTCAATGGAGTCCTTGTTCAAAAACGTGTGACATGGGCATGTCAATCAGAGTAACTAACGAGAATAGCAAATGTGAATTAAGGAAGGACAGAAGGCTGTGCTACCTTCGCCCATGTAATTCTACCCTACTCAACAGCATTGAGGTAATTTGATAGCTTTGATATCATTTGTACGTTTTTGAAAAATATATATTGCTAACAAATACCAAAGGATGTGTGTTAATTTAAAAGAATGTTAGAGTGACTTGACATTCAATCTGCAAAATGTATTTCAACAAAATCATAAAAGAGTTTAAAAATATATTTATGATTATACATTTACCAGAATTTGGTTAGCACAAAGCACAGATTAATTTATATTAGATTTAAAGTGACATTTTTATGACATGTCGACTGTAAAATGAAGCAAACAAATACTTCTAATTACCATGTACTCTATGTGATCCTCTATGCAAATGCCATAAAGTGAAAACATACAAAATATTTTTGACTAGTGCATTTCTAAAACAAACTTTACCTACTTGAAACGAAAGCTGATATACAGAAGTTTATATTCTGTAAAAATAGAAAATAAATCACAACAGTGTGTACTGTACAGAAAACCCTCTATGTTAATGTGTTTGTCCTCACAGAATACAGTGCATCAGATGATCATTTATACGATGTAGTCTGGGTCCCTTCAGTGGTCCTTTAAAACATGCTTTTTTTTTCCTATCTAAATAAAATGCATTTACAAGATAAAATCACATAGCACTCATTTCACAGTAGTGTTGCAAGTCCCCCATGTGTCTAATACAAATGTGGTGTACCACTAAAAATAATTCTTAACCCTGTCCCTGTTAACAAGAATACAAACGTTTATGTGAAAACATACAAAATATTTTTGACTAGTGCATTTCTAAAACAAACTTTACCTACTTGAAACAAAAGCTGATATACAGAAGTTTATATTCTGTAAAAATAGAAAATAAATCACAACAGTGTGTACTGTACAGAAAACCCTCTATGTTAATGTGTTTGTCCTCACAGAATACAGTGCATCAGATGATCATTTATACAATGTAGTCTGGGTCCCTTCAGTGGTCCTTTAAAACTCTTGCACCAAAAAATGGGTCCTGTCTAATCCCAGAAAATATTCGATTAGTTTGTACTTGGGCGTATAGAAATGTGTAAAAAGAGCATATGGGTGTAGAGATATAAAGGTCAAACCTTGTATCAAAGAGCTGCCAGCATAATGCCTTTGTAAACACATTATCTACCCCTTGCAGCCCCTCTATCCCTGTAAACACATTTTCTATCCACTGCATCCCCTCTACCAACTACAGCCCATATACCCCCCTAAACCCACTGCAGCCACTCTACCCCCTACATCCCCTCAACCCTCTAAAGCCCCTCTACCTCCTGCAGCCCATGGACCTCCTACACCCATGGGACCATAAAATGGTTCCCCATGTCATTATAACGGGTCGCCCTTGTTTGGAAAAGGCACATCATATTCAGGCCACAGGCTATTCCCACAATAATAATTCACTCTAGCAACTCTATGCTGCAAAGAACCCCCCCAACCACCCCGCTACCCCCATAAAAATATATTTGTTCTCTGAGCTAACTTTTACGAGGAAGGCATCTGCTAAGTGCTAACAAAGGCTAAGAAATACTGCACTAGAGGATCGCCCCAAAAATATTTTTCCAGAGTTAATCTTTTAGGCTTTTTTCCATATGCATTGCACAGTATGTTAGTTTGGTAACATGTCATCCTTTTTTTCCCCCTAAGATCCCAAAGGATAAAACTTGCCAGCCTACAATCCAGGCTTCACAACCTATGAAATTTGTTTTGTCGGAATGCTCATCAGTTCGCAACTATAGGCCTACATACTGTGGAGTGTGCAAAGATCGGAGATGCTGTGTACCAAACAAATCAAAAATGATAACCGTCCAGTTCCACTGCCCAGGGGAGGGCTCGTTCACATGGAAGATGATGTGGATCACATCTTGTGTTTGTCAGAAGTTCTGCAGTGATCCTGGAGATATATTTCCCCATTTAAAAATGTTGTGAAAGTTGTGACTCTTAAAGATTTCTGACACAAACAGTTAGATTCTATTATGGAAGATAATTATATCACCAGTAATTGAATAAGGTTTCCTTATTGATGTCAATGCGAAAACTGCTATTCAGATACCAGCATTAAAGGAAAACTCCAAGCACCATTACAACTACAGCATGCTGTACTGGGTATGATGCCAGGAGTGCCTTGGGAATCCCCCAATGTATGTAGTCAAACCATTTGCTAACAGTGGGATTTCTTACCTGCAGTCTGTTGGGTGCCAGTTACTGACTCTATGGCGAGTTGGAAACTCATGTGTGGAGTTCCGTTAGCTCTCCTGAGATAAACTTTGCTGTGCAGGGCCAGCTCATTGACCTAGAGTGTCAGCTGATTCTTCTCAGCCAATGAGTTAAGCCCAGCAACACCGGACATAGCCCGGCACAGACAGCACTCATACAGCCAGTGACTGGCACCTGGACCCCTGTTAACAAGTGGTTTCACTACATATGGTATTCCTGGCATCATAACCACTAAAGCACACATAGTGGGTATGGTGCTTGAAGAATGCATTTAAATGGATACAATAGGCACCAAAACAATTTTGGCCTAATAAAGTAGTTTTGGTGTATAGATCATGCCTCTTTAGTCTCACTACTCAATTATCTATCGCTTCCTGTAAACAGAGATGTTCAACCTCCTTTTATTTCACATTCTGTTCATTTCTACCAACTGTTCCACTTTGGTGGGACAGTCCCATTTTAGCTGCCAGGCATCCTGCATCTGGGGACACCAAGGAAATGTCCCCGAGCCGCACAGAGCGAGTGCATTATTAGTCATTATTAGTCTCACTGTGCCAATGGCATTATCACCATGCAGGGAGTGTTTCAGCAGTACTCCCTGAATAGTCCTGATAACTGGGGGCCAGCCATGCTATCTGTCAGGTGACGGGCCTGCCCCTTTTCTGTATGGCCCCACCCATTGTAGGCATCACTGGCTACACTCACCATCCTGACTTGCGGAGACTGAATGTTGGGAGGTATGTTCTGTTTAAGTTAGAATTTCTTATCTACTGCTCTAAATAATAGCCTGCTAAACCCTGCAGGAAGAGGAGATTAATATTCAATTTAGATAAAAACCTCTAAAGTAAGTTTAAGATCTGATTGAATATGAAACTTTTTTTTTCTAATGGAGGCTGTATGAGTACCAGTCAGCGGAGGTGTGACCAGGGCTGCATAAACAGTAACAAAAGTTATTAATTAGATGGCAAAGAATTGAGCACTGAGACTGCGGGGACATGATCTATACACTAAAACTTCTTCATTAAAGGGTTATTGCAACCACCATGACCACTTCAGTGATATGAAGTAGTCATGGTGTTAGGTGTCAATATTTGCAGTGTTTTTTTGTGCTTGAAACATTGCTCATACAGAGAGATTGCCAGTTGTGTGCTGGGGCCTAGTTGACCCTCCCCAGCACACGTGATATATATCAATTCTGTGCAAAAATTACATCTGTTGTCAGTGCTCACTTCGCGCTGACAACAGACATTAAAATAGTGCAGGCAGAGCTTCTGCAAGGGAAAGATAGATATCCCTCCCAACTCCCTACATGCACAATGGGGTTTCTTTTTTTAAACCTCCCTCCCCTCGCCAGCCCAGAGTACACTAATGCACACCAAGACAGCAATTGGTCCAATCACAGGCTTCTCTATGAGCTGCGGAAGAGCAGCTCTGGGAGCCTTGCACAGCGCTGGATTCAAGGTGAGTAAAACCTTATTTCATGTTTTACTGCACAGTGAAGGGAGGGTCTTCCCCACAGTGCCCAGTAGGGCATATTATGTCAGAATGGTCCCCCCTCTCAATAAGGTTATAGTAACCATTTTAAGCTCAAGTTGGTTTTGTGCCTCTAGTATCCCTTTAAGTTTAGCTCCATGTGTTGGTTACATCAAATTCGAGAAATTGTGTTGTATTTTTGTCCTGAAAATAAATGGCACATTTTATTGTGTTTGAATTCCTAAAACCATACAGCATGTGCAGAAAGGTAATAGTCCTCTTAATCTGTAGGACACTAATTATATCACTGCTCAAAATTTCCTTACAACCACTCAATGAAAAACGTACAGATTGGAAGAAACACAGAGGACATTTTCTAATACATGGTACGCCAAAATTCAGAGTTACAATATGTACCTGCAACAAAAGAATTTTACTACTAACAAATAAGTTATTTACCTGTCAAATCCTACTCTGAATTTTGGCCCACCCTGTACAAACTGTTGCACTTTCAAAATAAGATCACCCTTTCCATACATTTGAAAAATGCATCACCTGGACAAACTGGAAAGAAGGAATATACATAAAATTAGAAGCAGATAGTGAACAGAATTAAATGCATTAATTTAACTGCATATTTTTTTTTTTTTAATTCTTTATTTTTGTTGTGCATGGATTTAGACAAAGGCATGCTTGCAGTGCCACAGCAGTTTCAGCAAGCGCATCAGCATGAGATAATTGACAAGTACATGGCATATGGAAATTCTGCACATTTTTATATTAAAAGTAAAAACTGGCTAAGGAAACACAGCTAGATACAAGTAAGACAGTGTAAAGTATACAAGGCTAATATGCATGAGTGATATACCACCCCAGAAGGCCCTTGAGGTAAACATCCAAAGTCAGTTGTATGAAGCTAAGGAATGAGTACACCCTAACCCCACCATGATGTCGTCCGGCTGAGTGTGATGGGTGTATGAACAGAACGTCCGTTTAGCTGTTCAGCCGATGCCCTACATAGGCATTGCATATTTTATTTGGTGACTAATTATAATTTTTAAAAATATATATACATTTTGGGCATAGGCAGGGTTATTCACTAATGTCCGCATGGTTACATACTGAATGCATCCGGACAACTGCTACTGACGAGGTCGGATCAACCGAATTTGGCTTTAGTAACAGGATTTTTTTGCATCTGGACAAAATCCACAGTTTAGTTAATTAGCTTGAGAGAGTTTCCCTATAATAGAGCAGTTCCTTAATATTTCCTCATCCATATAATCATATATTTCATGGCTGATGAACTGGCCTCAGCAGCTAATGAAGATCCACCTTAATTTTGCCCAGGACTATTTCCTTGTTAGTGCTGGCACTGTCTAATCAAATGTTTCTCAAAGAGAAGCCTTGAGAACAAATTTCCTGGCAAAAGCATCGGAGATCGGTGGTTTCACAGATATATAGAAGAGTAAATTAAACTCTTTAGGGTTGTATTAGTTCAAGTGCTGTTTTAATTATTCATTTCATGTGTCCAGTAAAATGGTGACTTGCTATTTAATGGTATTGTAGATAAAATTCTTATCAAGGTAAGCCAACGGCTAGGTGAGGCCAATCGAATTTATATTCCACAGAAGCTGTTAGCAAATGGTTGCGTCAGTATCCCACTACCACAGATATATATTGTACCTGGGCAATTGGTCTTTAACAATCTGTGTGTAACTTGCTTAGCCATAGATAGAATGTCCAAGGCATCTGGAGTTAGCAGACTGTGTGCGCACACACCAGATGAAAAATTGCACAAAACGGATATTTCCAGTCAGGAAGGGAGTATTCCAGCTAGCTGATTGACATCCCAAAGAGGCAACCTACAAACAAAAAAAATAAAAAAATCAATAAATATTAAAAAAAATTATAATTGTATATATTTTAAATATGGTAGCAGAGGCAGGTTCTATGCACCATGACTTTCAGTAAGCTAAGCTGATTATGGTGCTGAGTGTCCATTTAATACCATCCAGGACTCCAGTCCAGAGCACACCGCTGCTCTATTAAACATGATAATTAGGGGAAATGAAATATCTTATACCTATATGTAAAAAGTTAGACTAGCTGATTCTTTATGTTTAAATCATGGACTAGTAACAAATTTTATATCTAGATTTAAAGAATAAAATGACAAATATTTATGCCCAATATCAGGTAAACTTTGTTGACGTGATGGGCTAAACCAGTGATGGCTATCCTTGACACCATAAATTGTTTCTGGACTACATTTCCCATGATGCTCAGCTAGTTTTTAGACTCTAAAAGCTAGCTGTGCATCATGGGAAATGTAGCCCAGAAAATTTATGGTGTCAAGGTTAGCCATAAGCCTTACCTGAAGGTACTAAACTGTAAATGATAATCAGTCTGCCCCGCTCTTATTTTGCATTTCTGAGTCTTCAATCAGGTAGCCTCAGACAGGGTGAAGCCGATAGGCTGAGAGCCTCATCTGACGCTTTCAGATTATCACTGGCTCCACATTTTTGAAAAGTGATGAAAAAGGTACAAAAGTACATAATACATCAATGATGCCTTCTTACAGACTTTGGGGTCAAACCATTTGGTAAGGGTTTACACCCCTTATGGTAAGGCAGCGCCTGGGACCTCCTTGCACCATAAGAAATTCATTGCATGAGGTTGTTACTGTGCCCAGAGTGTTCTTTTAAAAGGTGATTGTTTTTATTGTTTACTTTATAATCTGTAGTTTCAACCAGTGTGCAAACATCGCAAGAAAATTGTATGGAGAATAGCTGTGTCTCCTAATGATTACAAGACATAATCATCACCCAAATGATTTATTTAGCTCACTGCATTCAAAATTTCTACGTATTTTAATTTTGTAAGGAATTTTTAATGCAAAATAGTTACATCACGTATCACTAGATATTATACCTGTGTGTTAAACAAACTCAGAGCAAACAAATGAAGATTTCATGATAACATAATATTATCACATAGTAGTGTTTATTTCAGAAAATAAAACATGTTTGAGATTTTACAAAAGTACAAAAGTGTTAAAAATCACAGTACAAATTTGATTTTAAAAATATTCAAAAAATTAAGAGGAAACCCAAAAATTAAGTGGAAAGGACAGATATTGTATCAAATATATATGGATTTTGCGACCAGAATGTCATATATACAGCATAGCAAAGAACAATAGAAATATAATGTTTTACTTAAAATTTACTTCAACATACAAAATATATTTTTATAGCACAACAAAATATCTATGTTGATAACTTATTCATTTCATTTTAATAAATATATTGAATACAAGAAAAATACACTAGTTTTCAAGTAAATAATTTGGTCTAGGCATCATTATCAACCTTGTGAAATGCACCTTTTATATTGACATTGGAAGACTGATTTGAGCTCACCAGGAATTGTACCTTTGACCCAGAGATAATGAGCTGGAGCATTAATTATGGAGGTATTTTTTCAGGCACAGAATTCAGAACATGTACAAAATAAAGAAAACATAACAAAATTTTCAGATAAATATAGGTTTATGTTCAGGTTAGCAAGCTTTTTAATTGAGAAAATAAATGTATTTAAACAAAAAACAAACAAAAAAAAAAAAAAACAAACAAGCAAACCACTTTATTTTCAACCCAAAGGAGAAAAAAAAGTATGAGTAACTCGAACACAAATTTAGATGTAAAACAGAGCCATACGGAAGTTTAAAAAAAAAAAAAAAATATGGGCTTACTACAAATACAGGTAAGAGGTTTGCCTTTCATACTATGGCCTTGATTTAACAATTTTATATAAACTTTTTAGAAAATTTTATATTTAAAAAAATATTTTATGTTTTTATATTTGATACATTTAAATCTAGACCTACATGTCACAAATTCTAAAAACGAACGCCTTCAAAAAAACTAAACAAAAAAAAGAGATGAGATATACATTTAATGTGATTTTCAACACACACATATATATAAATTAGTATAAATATATTACATTTTTTTTAATTAAAGTTCAATAGACTTCATAATTGTACTGTATTGTTTGTTCTCTTGTGTCAAACCTGGTTTAAACATTATGAATTGTATGTGAATAGGCCACTGCTTGTGAGTCATATCTTGTAGTTGATATGTACTCAAGTGACATTAATGGCAGATGGAAACACAGGATTAGGCTAATTTGTTTTCCATCTGTATTGATCAAATATTATTTCTTATAAAAGTACTCGGTTGACAAAAGTTAGACAATGTCATACAGCTATGTTCAGTCTAGGAGGAACTTGGTTTGGGATCCCTTTGGTGGCATCAAGCTGGTGGTATTCCTCTATAAGGGTTGACAAAGAAGAAAGAGCTTGGCTAAAACAGCTTTGTTCCATTCCGTCCACTTGTAGGTAATGGTGAAGGTGGGCCTGCAAGGAATACAATATTTCAGTAACAAAAATTCTCATAATGATGAAAACAGTCTCTGATAAAAGCAATCATTTGCAGAACTCACAAACACACATATATATATATATATATAACATACCTGTGTTTGTGAGTTCTGGAAAGTAAAACTAAAATGTAGAAACCCACACCGGTGCTAACTTGAACATCTTGGCTTCCTGGCAATCACTGTTAGAAGGTCTGTCCACATTGACAGAAACAATGCTTGTGTTTCTTTTCCTGTGCTGTGCAAGGACTGGACTGCATTTACTAGTTATTCTATTTTTTTTTTCTTTTCTTTTTTTTTTTTTTTTTACAATCAAGTTTTGGATTTTTATTTAAAAAAAATAAATTATTAGAGCAGTGTAGGGTATACACGTTCAATATTACTGAACTGAAATATTTAGTACATGAAAATACGGTACAAAGTCACATGAATATCGTTTTTCATTCAACAATGTGTAAGTAATATTTAAACAGATGTGGTATTTATCACATTTATGGATTCTCCTATGACTGTAACAAAGGTTACCAATAAAGGTATCATCATCGAAGAAAAGAAGAAAAAGATTTACTTGTTATGTAATATACATTTAAAACAAAACAAAAACAACCCTCCCCCTCCCAAAAAAAACCCCAGAAAAACAAAACACAATATATATGAGATTATAACGGTTTTATTTAGCAGTAGCTCTCATTTTATGTATAGTAAAAATACTAAATCGACCAAAAAACGTAAATAATAATTCATACCTTCTTCCTGTACAGCTTATTGAACCTGTCTCGAAGTTCTATAAAGGTAGGCTTCACACAGGTGTTATTTGCCAGTGCCAATAAAGAATGGGTATGGCCCACAGGAGGAACTGAACACAGACCAGTCTTCCAACCTTCTTGATTCCAGGACACAAATTGCAGAGATGGTTTCAACCTAAAAAACAAAGATAAAGCCGGGTAAGTATTAACTAGAGGAGAATTGTATCAAATAGTAGATAGTAATAGGCTGTCATACTAAACCTTTCAATGTTCCTGCGAAGGTCGGATATCTGGACATTTCCTCGCACCATTAATGCACATGCAAGGTAGAGGTTATGTTTTGGGTCAGCATGGATCAATTGGTGATCTTTACTGAAAGCATCAGTAAACATCTGGTCCAACCTACACAAAAAACAAGAAAACGGAAAATTAAATACTGAAATTTGCCACCAGCCTGCAAGATCTAAATATGTCAGCCATGTTTGCAGTTGTTCTAGTACTCATCACAAGGTATACTGATAAGTACAGGTACATTGTGTAATACAACATATTAAATAAAAGTCAAATTTAACTTGGCTTTGCAAGATAAGAAAAAAACTCCAGAAATGGCATAAGGTACAATAACTCATTTTGTACCTGCACCTGCCAACTTGACTTAGAATACTACAGGCAACAAGACAACTTTAGCTTTTTGGTATATAGATCATGCCCTTGCAGTCTCACTGCACAATTCTCTGCCATTTTTACACACCTCTCTAAATGTGACTTACAACGTTCCTAAACACTTCTTGTAAAAAGAGATCTAATGTTTAAGCTTCCTTTATTGCGCATTTAGTTAATAGCCTTCTAGAGCCAGCAGGAGCCTCCTGTGTGTGATTGAAATTCAATTTACAGAGAAGGAGATAAAAACTTCTGAAGCAAGTTTACATCTGATTGAAAACTGTAGCTAGGGACGAGGAAACAAAAGTAATTTAACTCCTAGCAAAGAATTAAGCAGCGATACTGCAGGTGCATGATATATTCACCAACACTGCCTCACTAAAATACATTTGTTTATAGTTTGGTTATAGAACACATTTAACAGCTGTATGAAACTTAATGTGTTTCCAGCTTGTCTTGTACATTATTGTAATAGGTTTACAATTTATCTTCACTAAATGTTTATTGTCAAAGAAAACAGAATAACAGGTATACAAAGTCCATGTGTAATGGGAATAAATGCGAATAAATCCAACTAGGTGCAGCAGGTTTACACCTACAAGCTTCCTATACCAAGTAATTCTAAAACAATTAAATACACCTTACCTTCGAGTAGGCACATTAACATCAGCCAGTGTATAAAGAGGAGTCAGGCTTGATGTCAGGTAATGAAGTTGAGGGAAAGGAACTAAATTCATACTTATTTCATTTAGATCCATGTTAAGAGACCCTTCAAATCTGGCAGAACTAGGGGACAAATAAAAGACAATTTCAATTATAACCAATAGCAATCATAAAGCCTCAATTTCATGCACATAGAAGAACTGATATTGTCCTTGTCACTGAACTCTAGTGAATGTTTTGCTTTGAGCATTTTAAGATTTTTGCCAACATTGCCAATGACGTCTGCACAAATATGCAAGGATCTGGCTGTTAAAATATCTCTTCAGTTTAGAGCCGACTATTAAGGGCTCTGAAATTTGTGAGTGTTCCATATTATTTTTACATTTTAAAGTGAATATACATGTTACACTATGATGGTTGTCATGTGCTTACTATATAGGTTTTATCTTGCCAAGCATTTGCTGTGAAGTACTATACCATTCATGTGTGCTATCACCTCATTTATATCCTGGCTGAGGGAGAATGTAGGCGGCCGGCTCAGGGAGCATGGAGTCGGTGTGGGAGCTGCAATCTTCCTGCTCTGCTTACTCGCTTTGCTGTGATGCTGGGAGCCGGGATATGACAGCACTCCGGCTCCGCTATCACTAAACAGCGGGAGCAGAGCAAGAAGAGCAGGGCGATTAAAAGCAGCCACACTGGACCCCAGGGGAAGGATCCACTCCAGCTCTCCCAAAGGTAATGAGTCTTTCAGTGTGTGTCTGTCTGTCGGTCAGTGATTGTGTGTCAGCAAGTGAGTGTGCCTGTCTGTCAGTGAGCATGTGTGTGTGTCAGGGAGCGTGTGTCTGTCAGCAAGTGTGTGTGTCTGTCAGTGAGTGAGTGTGTCTGTCTGTTAGTGAGTGAGTGTGCCTGTCTGTCATTGAGTGTGTTTAGCTGACCTCTGATCGCATTGGAAAGGTGTTTTTGCTTACCTTTTTTCCCATGCTGCTCCGAGTCTTGCCACTTATGGCCCCGACTTCATGGCTGAGATAATCAGTCTTGATGATCTCAACCAATCCTGTGCTATACCATAGAAGGCTATGATGAATGTGCAGCAAAACTTTGAGCCAATCAGTATCTCCTCATAGATATGCATTGAATCAAAACATCTCTATGGGGAACGTACGCTGAATGTAGGTGCTGTATACTGTGCAGCACTAAGATAGGAAGCACCTCTAGTGGCCATCTGACCGCCACTAGAGGTGTTACTTTTTCTCTAAGCTGCAGTGGTTCTGGTGACTAAAGCATCCATTTAAAATTTGTATTTTTTTCATTGAAAATTAAGCTTTTAAAATAAAAATAAAAAAAAATAAAAAACCTTTTTTATTTGGCTCCTAGAAGTCAGGCAAATTTGTAAAACCCTGATGTTAGGCATTCTAACTAGGTCTCCTTTACCAAGTTCAAGGCACAATGATATTCCCTCATTGCGCCTTTACTTGTGTCAGATGCTTTGCCTTAATGCCAAAGTTAATTGACTGCAGTACACACTGATAATATCAGCACCTGCCACCAACTTGTATCTCTTCACATGAATCATAAAATGAGATCATTTATGGTTGTTTACATATATAAGCTGTTAAAAACCAAAACAAAAAAGTACCCAATATAAAACAGGCGTAGCCAAACATAATTCAATCAAAGCAGGATATACAACATTACCTTGTTAAATTTAGGAGTAGGTTAGCCACAATGTTGTTCATTGCATCAAATGGCTTCTCACCCTCATTGATACCACCTTTGCTAGAAGTGACAAGACTATTTTGCTTAAAACTTCCAAGTTTTCCAGAGTTTGCCATTTGCTGAATTTTTTTCACGATGTCCACTAGTGACTTAAAAACAAAGTTAAATTCAGTTGGCAATAATACAAGTTTGATAAAATAGAGAACGTGTCAATAATTTATTTGTTTTCATTATTGCACTAGTAGTCAGTGTGTTAAAGGTTCTGTAACATCGCACAACTCAAAGCAATTAAAGAGAACGTGTCTTTGAATCTGAAGAATGAGAGACTGCTGCCGGCTGTGATGGTCAGCCTCCTCCCATTCACCTCAATGCATGGCACACACCATGCCTCATATACAGTGCAGAGTGCCGAGTCAGCATAGCAGATATTTAACACAATTTGTTT